CTGTGCGTGCCGCCGCCGCCGCCGGGGAGCGAGCGGACGTCGCGGCGCCGCGGGGGGGTGGGGGGACGCTGCCGCTGGGTCCGCCCGAGCAGCCGGGCCGCCCCCAGCGCGGCTGTCCGCGCCGCCGGAGCTCGGCCCCCGGCCGGGGGCGGCGGGGGCCGCCGAGCCTGGCACTTGGGGGCCCCGGCGCCCCCAGACCGAGGGGCCCGGAAGTCCTCGGCCGAGGGGCCGGGAGGGGCCGGAGCGACTCTGGGTTGAGAGACCCGGACGCCCAGGACCCTGGCGAGGGGTCCAGGGATCCTGGGGTATCCAGAGAGGCGGGGTCCAGGGAGCACCAGGCCCTTCGATGAAGAGCTGGGGCGAGGCCTGGGTCCTGCTGGGGGTGGGGTTGCAAGAGGGGACGAAAGGTGAGGGGAGCCTGGGAGCCGCCGGCGAGGAGACCCTCGGAGCCTTGGCTGGAGAGCAAGAGCAGAGAATGGGTTCTGCTGAGGAGAGGAGGGTCCAGGCTTCACCTGAGGGGCGCGTTAGAGGCCTCGATCATTCAGTCCAGGGGAAAAGAGGCAGGTGCTTTTCCAAGGCGCGGTGAACAGGTCTGGGAGGTGGGAGCAGGGGACAAGGAAGAAAAGGGAAAGCGAGCAGGCCCCTGCCTTCCCACAGATGAGGGGGCGGCAGGGACACACCTCAGAACCTCCTGCAGGAGGAATAGGAAGGGTGCACATCTGTGAGGAATGAGAGATGTGAGTACCCCCTGACATAATAGGTAGAGAGTGGGGTAATCGGGTATGTCAGGGGATGGGGAAACCTAGGTGTCTGAGGACCGGAGAGAAGATGTCTGAGGGGAAGAAGCCCAGAGTACCCTACTTTCCGAAATGTCAGGGGAATCGGCCAGGTGTCTTTTATTTGAGGGGCTGGAGAGATGAAGGCAGAATCTGACCTGAGGGTCGACATTAAGGCGTGTTAAGCCTTGACTGAAGGATCAGGGTAAGGGTTGGCTAGCCCAGTAGCAGAAGGAGGCCTTAAGATGAAAGAAATACCAAAACCGCTCCATAGCAGATACAGAAAGGGCTTTGCTTGATGTCTGTGTAGGAGAACCAGGATGTGGGTTTTTTTCAACCAGGAAGGTTACAGAAAGGGATGAACAGATAATTCTAGTCTTCACAGGGATTCTTTTCTCTCCCCACCCCTTGAGTCTGCTAATGGTTACTAAAGTGTTTGGGGGGGACTTTTTCATCAACTGTTTGGACAGTCTCCCCTAATTTGTTAGCCATTTATCAGGTATGTGTATTTAATGTCTACTGACTAGATGACTATTACATTAGTCAACTATTCATATTTCAACAAATATATCCAATAGCTAACTTGAATACAACTTCCTGGGGTTAGTTTGGGTGCTGTTTTGGTCTTGTCCCAAGCAGAACTCCCCTAGACTCTAGTAGGATGACTCTTCGAAGAATGCTTTTATCCTATGGCTTCCTCAAACTCCTACATTAGGGATCTCCAGTAATAGTGACTTCCCCTGAACTTCATTTGCTCTGGCTATTTCCCTCACAGTGGTCTTGTGCAGCCTTTGTGTTGGCTTCAATTACATCTGGTAGTACTCTGGATCATCTACTAAATACACGAGAAGGAATAAAGAAATAAAAAAGTCAAGGGGTTTTGGCTTCAAATTTTAACTTGGAAATTCCTTAAGAATAGACTACACAGTCTACAAAAATTACGCTATAATGTGCAATACATCAATATATTTTGGGGTTAGAAAATTTCAGGATATCTGGTATTCTTTTATTCCATACCAACTCCCAACTCTAATGTCCCTGTAATCATGTGACACTCATGCTTATCCCTTGCCATGTTTTGAACATTAGTTTTCAGGACAAAAAAATGAATTTAATTCAGAGTAGGTCAGATGTTATTTGTTTAGTTTTCCAATAGCCTATGTAAGCAGTCATACATTTTATTTTCAAGGTGTCTTTTGTCTTTGAAAACTGCAAAGTAATTTTAACTTTTCATATAAATTTGACATCTTTCTCTTATGTGTGTTCTAGAATTACAGGGAGTGTTGTGTGATTCCACAATGAAATACTCTAAGGCCCTTTCCATAAAATACCCAAAGGATCAACTCACTCTCTTGCCTCAGGAGTTTTTGTTGATATAAACAAGAGCTACTTTTCAGTTTACACTCTGTTCAAAGAGATGACCTTGCAGTTAGCCAGTGTAGTCTGAAGAGCTGGTTTCAATTTACTTATTAGGAATATGGTATTTAGAGTAATAAGAGAATCAATCCAGGCTTGCTTTTCTAAAGACTGCCATGATGTGCCCTGCGGTTAGAGCGTCAGCCTGCGGACTACAGAGTCGCAGGTTCGATTCTGGCAAGGGCATGTATCTTGGTTGTGTTTCGTCCCCAGCCCCAGTTGGGGTCATGCGGGTGGCAACCAATAGATGTGTTTCTCTCACATCGATGTTTCTCTCCTTCCCACTCTGAAGATAATGTAAAAATATCCTCAGGTGAGGATTATTTAAAAAATAAAATTAAATAAATAGAAAGTGACATGTTGCCTGGCTTATGTGGCCCAGGGATTGAGCACCAAGAGATTGCTGGTTGATTCCTGGTCAGGGTACATGCCCGGGTTTTGGACTACATCCCCAGAAGGGGGCATGCAGGAGGCAGCCAATAGATGATGTTTCTCTCTCCCTATCACTTCCTCTCTAAAATTAATTAAAAAATTAAAAAAAAAAATACCATGGACTGAGAGGTCCCAGTTCGATTCCTGTTTAGGGCACATGCCTGGGTTGCAGGCTCAATCCCCAGTAGGGGGCCTGCAGGAGGCAGCCAATAGATGTTTCTCTCTTACATTGATGTTTCTATCTCTCCCTTCCTCTAAACAATAAAAACATTAAAGATAGCCCTGGCCGGTTTGGCTCAGCGGTTAGAGCGTCGGCCTGCGGTCCAGAGAAACCCGGGTTCAGTTCCTGCTAAGAGCACGTACCTTGGTTGCAGTTTGTCCCTGGCCCTGGTTGGTCATATAGGTGGCAGCCACTCGATGTGTCCGTTTCACGTCTATGTTTCTCTCTCTCTCCCTTCCACTCCATCTGAACAAAAAATGGAAAAATATCCTCGGGTGAGGATTTAAAAAAAAATTGTTATAAAAAAAAACACATTTAAAATAAATAAAAGAATGCCATGTTAATTAAATCAGACCTGTGTCTCTGACTGACACTTTGTGGATAATTATAATTATACTCTTTGATACAAAGTTAGAAAGTTAAAGAAGTAGCCAGAACATTCCTCTTGGGTGCGAAGGTGTGGGGAGGGCTAAGGAATAAAATATGAGTTTCTATTGAAAGTATTAATCAAGTTGTTAGTCAGCCAGTTATTCAGAGTACTTAACTATAGGGGAGAAGGTTGAAACTAGAAGCATCCATCTAATTTTGCTTCTCTAATCCATTAATTCACCTGAACTGTTTTTAAACATTTAAATTACCTTTTGGGGTAATAAATTCCAAGTTTGATACATGCTAAGGTATTACATCTTTAAATTCATTACATATGTAATAGTAACAGACTAGTGCTTGACAAGAAATGTGTCCAAAAAATGTTAGCTGCGATTATTTTAATTTATCCTTATTTTTATAGTTTAAACTTTGAAGATATCTGTTGGTTCAGTTATTCTAGGACTTGACGGTATATGTATGCTTCATCATATTTCTTTTTGGCTTTTTCTAGACTCACAGGGCCTAATTGTTTTGGTTCTAATGCCAGAAGCCAGTCTAACTTCTTCACTGATTCTCTTCTTTTTTCTTTCTAATTTTAAATCTTTAATTTACAAAAGTTCAGATTGTGTACTGTTTTATCTTGCAATTACTTTTTTTCTCTAGTATGTGACAGTGTCATGCATCTCTTTCCCTTCTGTAGTTCCTTAAGAGCTACTGTCCTGCCCTGGCCTGTTTGGTTCAGCAGTTAGAGCATTGGCCAGTGGACCAGAGAGTCCCAGGTTTGGTTCCCACTAAGGGCACGTACCTCGGTTGCAGTTTGTCCCCGGCCCGGTTGGGGTCATGTGGGTGGCGACCTCTCGATGTGTCTCTCTCACATTGATGTTTCTCTCCCTCTCTCTCTTCCTCCCTCTCTCCCTCCCACTCTATCTGAAGATAAATGCAAAAATGTCCTCGGTTGAGGGGGGAAAAAGAGCTACTGTCCCTTTTCATATCCAGGGAGCCTAACTTTATGCCTGATGTGGAGTACAAACTCAGTAAATATTTGTTGAACTAGCCATAATGATGGACAATAAGCCAGGTAGCTTAGCCTAGCTGCCTAAGCAAATTTATATCCCCTAAGTTAGAAATGTAGAAAATTCTAGAAGTCTTTTAGGATAAGGTGAATCATCACATAAAAAAATTATTACATACCTGCTATGTGCAAGATTTCCTTAGGAAGTTTTAGATAAGAGTTTTGTAGATCGCCCTGGCCGGTTTGGCTCAGTGGTTAGAGCGTCGGCCTGCGGTCCGGAGAGACCCGGGTTTGGTTCCCGCTAAGGGCACGTACCTCGGTTGCAGTTTGTCCCCTGCCCTGGTTGGGTCGTGCGGGTGGCAGCCACTCGATGTGTCGCTTTCACGTCGATGTTTCTCTCTCTCTCTCTCTCCCTCCCACTCTATCTAAACAAAATATCGAAAAATGTCCTCGGGTGAGGATAAAAAAAAAAAAGAGTTTTGTAGATAGAGGTCTAATATTTGAAAACTATCATACTCCTGTGTCCTGGGCACTGAGCTAGGCACAAGGGAGCTGTTGAAAATGAAAAGCAGTTCTTGTTCTTCCGGGATGTTGCCTGGTGGGAGAGGCTGACAGAGAGGGATGATGGTTGTGACAAGGGTGCTGCAGGCACTGAGGGAGCAAGAACACAAGCTCAAATCTAGTCAAGGAAGTCAAAAGCCTCCCCAAGGAAGTGATGTTTTATTTTCACTTTTTTGTTAATTCTCACTTAAGGGTTTTTTTCATTGATTTTTAGATAGAGTGGAAGCGGGCAGCAGAGAGAGAGAAACATCGATATGAGAGCGACACACTGATTGAGGAAGTGATGTTTTAAATAAGTCACAAAAATTTAGTAGTGACTAGCCAAAGAAGAAGTAAAAAAAGGATTCCAGGTAGAGGAAACAACTGTGAAGGCTCAGGTGAGAAAATATGGTATGTTTGAGAAATTGGGGAAAATTCAATGATAGGAGCCCACATGTGAGAGAAAGAACTATGAGAAATAAGCCTGGCAGGAATGGCAGGGGACAGATTTGGAGGATTTTGTAAACCATGTTTAGATGTTTGCAAATTATTCTGACAGCAAAGGGAATCCACTGAAGGATTGTTAAATGGGGAAATGGCCTATGGCCTTTAGTAAGATCACTTTGCTCTGTAAATAATGAGTTGGAGAGCAGGATGAGAGTTTAGGATACTAATGAGAAGCACCTTGAAAAATCCAGGTACCAGAATGGTGGTTCAGAATATGGTGGTGGCATAACAGATAGAGAATGGGAAATGGTTAAAAGAGATATATAGGTGATAAAATGGATAGGATTTGTTAGTTGATTGGCTTTACATAGAGAGATAAAAAAGTCAAAAATAACTCCTTAGCCCCGCTGGTATGGCCTCAGTGGTTGAGCATCGACCCATGCACCAAGAGGTTGCCAGTTCGATTCCCTGTCAGGGCACATGCCTAGGTTGTGAGCCCGATTCCCAGTGGGGGGCATGCAGGAGACAGCAAATCGATGTTCTCTTTCATCGATGTTTCTCTCCCTCCCCCTTCCTCCCTCTCTCTAAAAATCAATAAAGAAAAAAAAAACTCCTTAGCTGTTGAAAATGGTAAAAGTTTCTTTCTTTTTAGAGCAGAGTAGTATTCCATTGTGTAAATGTGCCACCACTTTTTTTTAAATCAGTGAAATAAGCCAGTCAGAGAAAGACAAGTACCATATGATTTCACTCCTATGTGTGATTTATAATTTTTTTCTTTTATCCTTACCCAAGGACATTTTTTCCATTTTTTGTTCAGACAGAGTGAGAGGGAGGGAGAGGAAGAGAGAGAAACATCAATGTGAAAGGGACACATCGAGTGGTTGCCACCCACACGACCCAACCAGGGCCAGGGACAAACTAACCGAAGTACGTGCCCTTAGCGGGAACCGAACCCGGGTCTCTCTGGACCACAGGTTGACCCACTAACCGCTGAGCCAAACTGGCCAGGGCTCATATGTGTGATTTAATGAACAACTGAACTACCAAGCAAAATAGAGACAGACTCATAGATAGAGAGCAGGCAGACAGCTCTGGTGGAGGGGAGTGTTGGGGATGGGGTGGGATTTAGCATAAAAGAAAAAAAAAAGAACTCATGGACATGTACAACAGTGTGGTGATTGCGGGGGGGAAGAGGGTGGGTAGAGGTGGAAGAAGGCATAGAGGGGATAAATGGTGATGGAAAAAATAAAAATTCAGTTTCTGGCTTAAGAAAATGGATAGAGGCATTTACTGAGGCAGGAAACAGGAGCAGGTTTAAAGTTCCTACAAGATATTTTAGGAGATGTTTGGATATAGAAGGTGTAAAATTTAGGTATAAAGTCTGAATGTGAGAGTCATAAATGGCAGAAGTATAAGTTAGATATGAGGAATTTTAAGTAGGTCAAATACAAAAACTGATTGAACCAATCTATGTCAGTGCCTATGGTGAGCAGGTCTGTGAGAAAAATATTTTTAGATAAGCAGCACCTGTCCTGTCAGAGAGTACAGTGTAGTTATGAGTATGGATGTCTGTTCAATTAACTGCAATACAGGGCACAGTGTGATAAACACTAGAGGACAGCCACAAACCAAGTATTGGGGTACTGCAGAAAAGAAAATGGTTTTGGCAGTGGTTTTGTCGAGGAGGGGGCTTTGAATTGGGTCTGAAGGGAGAAGGAGATGAGGGAGAAAGGAGTTTTGGGCTTAAGGAATAACAAAGTACAGGAACCTGAAAGTACATATTATATGTTCAGAATACAGTGGGTGGGTGGTATGACTGGAGTTTAAGATTCTTGGGGTGATATAGTCACAGATAAGATTGAAAAAGTATTTTGGGGCCAAATAGACTGAGTGCTATGCTTAAGTATGTGTATTATAGGCAAACAAATACTGTGGCAGAGCTGAGATACAGTTTCGGTCATCTGACTACCAGTCAGATTGCATCCGTTGTGTTCCTGCTCCGTTCAGCATAGTCCTAGTTATTGTCACATACATGTCTAAGTAAATACAGTCCTGTTATTTATTCTCCCTTAAGTGACTCTCACCTTTCTTTTCAACTCTGAGGACTCACTGCAGAATATCCTGTGGCCCTCTGAGTTTTCATTAAGATTGGGACAATGCTTTGAGTTACTTTAGAGTTGAGGATCATGTGGTGCTGAACACTGGTTTCCTCAACAGCTCTGCAAGGGAGATATCAGGTGAGATCATTTCTCCATTCAGCCTGAGGCAGAAAGGTATTAAGAAGTTTTAGAGGTCATACAATTGGATTCAGCATTTATTAAACAACTATACAATGCAAGTCATCTTTTTCTTCTCATAAGCTTAGTTCAGTTAGTCAGCAGTTACTAAGTACTCACAGGAAACAGAGCACTTGAAATGTAACGGCTGGTTGCAAAGAAAATTGATTTCTACTTTCTAGGAGCTTATTGTTTGGGATGGAACTAGTAGTGAGCTGTAAAACATCTCTAGAAAAAAACACACACACACATACAAACCTGATGTGTAGTTCTTGCCAATTTCTGTGGTGTATACTTCCAGCATCACTGATTTTTTACTTTATTTTTTTATCCTCACCCGAGGACATTTTTCCATTTTTTGTTCAGATAGAGTGGGAGGGAGAGAGAGAGAGAGAGAAACATCGACGTGAAAGAGACACATCGAGTGGTTGCCACCTGCACAACCCAACCAGGGCCAGGGACAAACTTCACCCAAGGCACGTGCCCTTAGCAGGAACTGAACCCGGGTCTCTCTGGACCGCAGGCCGACGCTCCAACTGCTGAGCCAAACCGGTCAGGGCCAGCATCACTGATTTTAACCTATCAATGTGATGTCACTAAACTTGGTGTTGAGAACTGATGTGCACAATTGGTTCTCAGGAGCTGATAGAGCACACCATTGTATGAATCACTCATACTAAGAAAACCCACAATAGCAAATGAGTACTGAGGCATTTCTGGAAAGAGCAGAGCCTATGTCAGCCCCCTCTCATGTTCCCATCCTTTTCAGAGGACCATGATCTCCAGGGTGCCCTTGGATTTGGTAATTATTATCTTGGTGTTCCTTTTCTATGGTTGCCATCTTTTCAAACCAGATGAAGTTACTGGTGCTTCTTGTTTCTGACAGCAGTTTCAGTTATCTGACTTCATGTGAAAGATGGCTAATGCAGAAGTGAGTGTCCCAGTGGGGGATGTGGTTGTGGTACCTACTGAAGGAAATGAAGGGGAGAACTCTGAAGACACTAAAACCCAAGTGATCTTGCAGTTACAGCCTGTGCAACAAGGGTAAGTGACTAAAGATTTGGGTATTCTGAGAAATTTGGGAGGTATAAAGAGTGGGGAAATTATAACTTTATGGTTGCTTAGCACAATAGAACATTCAACATTAATCTAAGAGCTGGGCAACTTTTCATCTCTATAATAATGTGTTGAGTGCTAAATTTGTCATTTCAATACTTATTACAACAATTAGCTGTTTCCCTCTCTCTTCCCCTGTTTTCCATTGTGAACCTCTTGAGGATAAGTTACATTGGCTGCCTCATTTTATTTATCCACACTATTTAGGACCTTGGTACATGTTTACCAAAAGACAGTGTAGTTAGAATCAGAGGAGATTAGGGAAGTATTCCTAGCCTAAGCTCTCTAGACTGCCATGGGTGGACAAATTATCAAGCCTAGCCTATCAAAAAATGTATATTAACTACCTAGTATTATACAATGTATTATAAAGGTGTTGGAAGAAATATAGCACATGATTCCCACTATCATGGAGCTTGCAGTCTACCTGTGCAAACTGAAAATACATATATATAAAAAAAGAGATCACTTACATGGCAAAGTCTAAGAAGTGCTGAATGGCATGGTTAGAAGTGCTTTCAGTTCAGGGAACCACTATGAATTTGAAAAGATAAGTTTAAAAAAAAATGGTCTATGGCCTTGAAGGTTAAATAAGAATTGCATCTACAGAGAGAAAGGAAAGAGAGTTATTTTATCTTGGGGAATGTGTGAAAGTCTTCATATGATTAGAAATGTTCTTGGGCAAAAATATAATCCAATCCCAATTGACTAAATAGTGTACCTTGTCTTAAATAATTTTGGAGAAAGACAATCAACCTCTCTTGGTAATTTTTAAGACATTTTAGTATAGAAAAATTCAAATTTACACAAAAATAAAGAAAATACTATAATGTAAGCACCAATCACCCACCTTCAACAATTATTAACATATGGCCAATCTTATTTCATCTTTACATCCACCTGCTCCTGAACTTTAAAATTTTATTTATTTTTTCAATTCTCATACATTTTTATTGAAAAAAATTAAAATAAATATACTGTACAGAAAAGGGTATAAAACATATGTTAAGTTTAACACATTTTGTATGGTGAACAACAGTATAATAACCACTGTGAGAGCACAACATCAATTAGCTGCCTTCTGCACACCCTCCTTTGGGGATCAGGCCCACAACCTGAGCATGTGTCCTGACAGGGAATCGAACTGGTGACCTCCTGGTTCATGGGTCAATGCTCAACCACTGAGCCACACCTGCCGGGCTCACCTGAGGATATTTTTTTATTGAGTTTTAGATAGAGTGGAAGGGGAGGGAGGGAGAGAGAGAGAAACATCTGTGTGAGAGACACCAATTGGTTGCCTCCCGCAGATCGAGGATCCAACCTGCAACCCAAGTACATGCCCTTGACCAGAAATCAAACCCAAGACCCTTTAGTCTGAGGGCTGATGCTCTAACCGCTGAGCCAAACTGGCCAGGGCTAAAAAAATATTAAAAATATTTTTAAAATATTAAAAAATATATATAAAATATATATATATACATATTTTAATTGATTTTAGAGAGGGAGAGAGAAACATGGATGGGCTGCCTCTTGCATGCCTCCTACTGGGGATCGAACTGCCACCTGGGCATGTGCCCTGACCAGGAATGGAACCAGGACCTCTTAGTCCATGGGACAACACTCAGTACACTGAGCCACACCATCCAGGCTCTTACTTTTTAAATTTTCTTTTATTCATTTTTTCACACAACACAGAAAGCTTCATTCATGCACACTGCTCCGAGAGAGGCAGGCTCACTTCAGTATGCTGTCATCACAGGCTTCTGCCAGTTCTCTCTCAATTTGTTTCAGTTCATGCTGCTGCTGCTTCTCTTTGGCTGCTATTCTCCTTTCTTCTTCTGCCCGAGGTTTCGGGTAACTGTAGCGCTTGGCTCTGTAGGCCACGTCGAGGAACAGGGCAGAGTAGCGGCCGAGATTGAGCAGAGAAACCTGTACCAGTGGCACCATCTTGTCTGTGACCTCCGCACCGGAAAACCTCTTACTTTTTTTAATAGGCTCTGTTCATGTCAATAATTTGGTTATGGTGTTTTAAAAAATGCTAAAGTGGCCCTGGCCGGTTTGGCTCAGTGGTTAGAGCATCAACCTGCGGTCCAGAGAGACCCAGGTTCGGTTCCCCCTAAGGGCGCGTATCTCGGTTGCAGTTTGTCCCCAGCCCTGGTTGGGCATGCGGGTGACAGCCACTCGATGTGTCCCTTTCACGTCGATGTATCTCTCTCTCTCTCTCTCTCTCTCTCCTCCTTTCTCCCTCCCACTCTATCTGAACAAAAAATGGATAAAAAATAATAATTAAAGCCATTTTCTAAAAAAAAAAAAAAATGCTAAAGCGTGCCCTTGCCGGTTTGGCTCAGCAGTTAGAACATTGATCTACATACCAAAGAATTGCGGGTTCAATTCTTGATCAAGGGCATGTACTTTGGTTTCGGATTTGATCCCTGGCCTCAGTCGGGGTCCTGCAGGAGGCAACCAATCCGTGTGTCTTTCTCTCATCAATGTTAATCTTTCTTTCTCTCTTTCTCTCCCTCCCTCCCATCCTCCCATTCTATCTAAAAAAAAAAAAATCAATTGAAAAATATCCAAGTGTAAGGATTCCAAAAACAAAATTGCTAAACTGCTGAAAAATGCTTCATTTAGTGCCTAGATTCCAACAAGGGTCATCAACTTCTTTGTTCAACAGTTGCTTCTTATCTTGAACTGTCCAGCAGTATTACTTTTAGTCTTGTTAGGATAATCTGTAATGTGACTTAATCTTATACTTGAAGCAACACTTTATGTCATGAGTTTTTAAAGGTATGAAAGGAAAAGTGTGGTATAAATAAGTAGCAAGAGGAACTTTACTTTGAGGGGCGGAAACTTATTGATTCATATCCATGGTAGTAACTACTAAGCAGTCATGGGCAGCTTAGAGTTTAAAATCAATGGGAAATTAGTCAAAACACTAACATACAGTTGTAAACTATATTGTATTCCTTTTGAGATAGATAGATTAAAATAAATTTCTTAACCCCCATGCTGTGAATATTAATTTTTTCATGATTTATGTAGTTTGTTTATCGATGGACACTTTTACAACAGGATATATGAAGCCGGGTCCGAAAACAACACAGCAGTTGTGGCAGTAGAAACTCACACAATACACAAAATTGAAGAAGGAATTGGTGAGTCTTTTTGTTATTCTAGTGACCTTAGCTTTCTTAGTTGATACTTCTTGCCTTTGTGCCTTTTTCACCCTACCCCAGTGTGCCCTATCAATGCTGCAGCCATCAATTTGATGGTGGTACATCTAGAGACACCACTTACTAAGGTTCTAGGGCTGTCAGTTGATTATTTAACATCAATTTGCTAGGGTTGCTGAAAAGATTTTTTTACCTATAAAAATGCCACAAAGAAATTGGACCCTCAAGGTTGATTTTTGTCAGTAGGGAAGTTGCTGACGAAGACTGATGGAGGTGTTCACTGGAAGGCAGTCAGAGGAAGGAAACTTTGAAATCAGACAAACCCGAGTTTGAAGCCTACTTTTTCACTTAGCTGTGTGTCCTCAGGAGAGTCACTTTACCTTTCAGAGTCCCCCATACAGACATGTAAAACATAGAAAACAATCACTGCCTCCCAGAATTGTTGCAAGAAATAAATAATATTAGGCAGGTCAAAACATATAGCACAGTGTATGGTAGTGGGAGCTCGGTAAGACAGCTGTTATGCCTAATTTCTTCCAGAGGATTTCTAAACAATATCAGCCACTGTAAACTGTTAACCTCTGAGAGCAACTAGGAGACCCAAGATTTTTAATTAAGCTTTGGGAAAGAGTGTTTAATAATAACTGGTATTTTTTCCATTTTCAGATGCAAGCACTATAGAAGCAAATGAAGATATGGAAATTGCTTACCCCATAACTTGTGGGGAGAGCAAAGCCATTCTTCTCTGGAAGAAGTTTGTATGTCCAGGAATAAATGTGAAGTGTGTCAAGGTAATTGTCTTTTCTCCTTGCTGGAACCTATTTTGGGGCTCCTTGTTTTCAAAGGGCATGGTTTCAGTGCCTCCTCTCTCTCTTCCACCATACCAGTATTTTTAATTTGGTGGATATAGTCCCATTGCATCATAGTAGATAAAAATAACTGGGGAGTGCGATTGACCTGGATTCAAATCCCACTAGAAAACAAGTTCCATGAGAGCTGAGAACTTATCTGTCTTGTTCACTAGTGTATCCCAAGCACTTAGAATGGTATCTGGTATATTTATCAATATATATTTGTTGAATGAATGGAGTTCCTCACTATCACTGACTAGCTGGGTGACCTTGAACAAGTTATTCAATATTTCAGAAAATCATCTATTAAAATATGAATAATCCACTCTGGCCAGCTTGGTTCAGTGGTTAGAGCATTGACCCATTGACCAACAGCTCTTGGGTTCAATTCCCGGTCAAGGGCACGTACCTGGGTTGCAGTTTTGATCCCCAGCCCTGGTTGGGGTTGTGCGGGAGGCAACCAGTGGATGTGTCTCTCTCACATTGATGTTTCTTTCCCCCGCAACCAACTCCCTCCCATCCTGTCTAGAAATTGATGGAAAAATATCCTTTGTTTTTTGAAGATTAACAACAACAAAAATAATCATACCTATATACATATATATGTATATATAGATACACTATAATGCTGCTAGAAAACAAATTGAGATAATATATGTAAAATGCTTTATACTGGTGTGCATTATGGTAGAGTTTATTGAAAATTATTTCTGAAAGATACATAATCATGAAAGCACAATGTGGAAGTCATTGCTTATTTTGACCCCATTGATAGCCATAGATAGTTGTCACCATCAGTGGCATGATCCTTAAAGATTACATAGTTCCACAATTATTAAAGATTACATAGTTTTGACGCTCTGCCATGGTACTGGTTTCTACCATACTTATTCTTTCTGCCATATCCTGAATCTCGTCATTAGGGCTGGATAGATTACATCAGTTTATTTAAACAGCCTTTATAGCATTGGATCCAGCCACCTGATTCAGAGCATACATGTATTTTAAATGCTAGTTAGTATATTAATCTCCATGCTCCCAATGTCATCTGTAGCTTTGTACCAGGATAGGGCACTGTGCTCAGAGAAGGATCATCTTCTATGGCACAGTAAGTTACAAGGCTATGATGACTTAAGACGTCATCTGAGCCTGGCCGGTGTGGCTCAGTGGTTGAGCGTTGACCCATGTACCAAGGTTGCCGATTTGATTCCCGGTCAGGGCACATGCCTGGGTTGTGGGCTGGGTGGGGCATGCAGGGGGCGGCCAGTCGGTGTTCTCTCTCATCAATGTTTCTATGTCTCTCTTCCTTTCCCTTCCTCTTTCTCTAAAATGAATAAAGAAAAAAAATTAAATAAAAAATAAAAGATGTTATCTGGGTATTTTTTATACATAACAAGTAGTATAATCTCTTTGTTTCCCTCTGGCCTGCCTAAGGTGACATTGGATTATTTTGGACTTTTTTTTACTTTAGTTCAATGATCAGTTGATCAGCCCCAAGCATTTTGTTCATCTGGCTGGCAAGTCCACTCTAAAGGACTGGAAGAGAGCCATTCGTCTGGGTGGAATCATGCTCAGGTGAGCTCTAATAGTAAGAACATACCTTTTAACTGACTTTGGGCACTTAATCATGGTGGAATCCAGAGAATTCAGTCTGTTCTCTTTAATTTGAATTTTTTATTCTGTCTGAAGGATTAGTTTACGCAATCCATGTATTATTTGACCTTCATCAACTTGTTCTTTAAAAAAACCCCAAAAACTCAGAGAAAGAATTGTGAATCAGATTCACTCTTCCTAGCATCTAGGGCCAATTTTTCAGGATGTTGGGTAGGATCCTTTCTAGGCAGAGAAACTCAAGAACAAAGCTAAGCCTGGTGCTGAAGAAGCATGATAACCGCAGAGAAGTGTAGGCTGACTGACAAATCCTGGGATAATTGGTAAAAGTAGAAGGGTGCAGTTAATAAGTACCAGTGATGCACAGTGAATGCCATCACTATACCACAGAAATAAAATTCAGAATGCATATTATCCCCACTCCCCTCTCTTTATGCAGCAAGTTGTAATTTTTTTCCCTCTGAAAATTAACATTAGTTTAACATTAATGCTCTTTCCTTGAGCACTCACTTGTTGATAGAACATTTTAAAATGTGGTCAAGAATTAAAAGTTCCAGCCCTGGCCAGTGTGGCTTCGTTGGTTGAGCATTGTCCCATGTACTGAGAGTTCACTGGTTCAATTCCTGGTCAGTGCACATACCATACCCAGGTTGTAGGCTCGATCCTCAGTAGGGGGTATGTAGGAGGCAGCCAGTCAGTCTTTCTCTCTCGTTCTCTCTCTCTCTCTCTCTAACTCTGAAAAATCAATAAAAACATATTTTTAAAAAGTTTCCTACAGCCCTGGCCAGTTTGGCTCAGCGGTTAGAGCGTGGGCCTGCGGTCCGGAGAGACCTGGGTTCGGTTCCCGCTAAGGGCACGTACTTCGGTTGCAGTTTGTCCCTGGCCCTGGTTGGTCGTGCGGGTGGCAGCCACTTGATGTGTCCCTTCACGTCAATGTTTCTCTCTCTCTCCCTTCCTCTCTCTCCCTCCCACTCTATCTGTACAAAAAATGGAAAAATATCCTCGGGTGAGGATAAAAAAAAAAAAAAAAGTTTCCTACAGAACGTGTTTCAGGAGCCTCAAAAACATTTTACACTTTGTCTTTAATTCTTTTTAAGGAATCTGCCTTAAGAAAAATCCATAGTGCTTGTAGAGATTGCAACATTATTTATAATAAAAATTAGTCTGTTTTAATATAGTCAAGGTATATCTAAAGTAAATTATGGCTCATCTAAATGTATACGAGTAGCCCTGGCCCGTTTTTCTCAGTGGTTAGAGCGTCGACCTGTGGACCAGAGAGTCCTGGGCTCTGTTCCTGCTAAGGGCATGTACCTTGGTTGCAGTTTGTCCCTGTCCTCGGTTGGGGTTGTGTGGGTGGCAACCAGTCGATGTGTCTCTCTCACATCGATGTTTCTCTTCTCTCTCTTACCCCCTCTCTCCCTCCTGCTCTGTCTGAAGAGAAATGAAAAAAAAAAAAGTCCTCGGGTGAGGATAAAAAAAATAAAAAATTTAAAAAAATAAATGTATATGAGTATATATTATGGGATATAATGCAATAATTAAAATATTTCTAAAGGGTTTTTACATTAAAAAATGCTTATGTGTAAAGTAAGAAAGAAAACAAAATCAATTAAACTGTGTGATTTTAGTTGTGTTAACACACACACGTAAAATGTAGTACAAGAAAATATACCAAAATGTTGCTATCTCTATGTTGTGGGATTTTTTTTTTTTAAAGCACAGTTATTATCTTTATAGTTTTCTGTATTTTTTTCAAAAAATGTTAAATTTTTTTTTTTTTTTTTCAATCTTCACCCGAGGATATCTTTTCCATACTTTGTTCAGATAGAGTGGGAGGGAGAGAGAGAGAGAGAAACATCAACGTGAAAGGGACACATCGAGTGGCCGCCACCCGCACAACCCAACCAGGGCCGGGGATAAACTGCAACCGAAGTACGTGCCCTTAGCGGGAACCGAACCCGGGTCTCTCCGGACCGCAGGCCGACACTCTAACCGCTGAGCCAAACCGGCCAGGGCTAAATTTTTTTTACATATTATTTTTATAGTCAGAGACAAAAAATAATAATAATTCCAGATGATTTATATGCAGAAATCAGTCATTGAATGAAATTGGAGAGGAATACTTTTAACTTTCATTTTTGTTATTCTTGGCCTGTTTTATTTGCCCAGAAAAACAAGCATATGCCAACTTTCCCCAAATGTAAAAAGAAACAAGAATGCCTAAAAAAGCTTTAGTGAAAGTCAAGTAACAATATAACATGTTTACTGTAATTAAAATATCACATGGTTTTGCTCAGGGTCTATCATAATGTCATGTTAATTCAGTTCTAAGAACATTTTATAGTGAGGATTTAGTATAATCAGCTTTGCTCTGTATTTATAGGAGAGTTGTTATTAATTTTTTTTTTTTTTCTTTTTATCCTCACCCGAGGACATCTTTCCATTTTTTACTCAGATAGAGCGGGAAGGAGAGAGAGGAAGAGAGAGAAACATCGATGTGAAAGGGACACATCGAGTGGCCGCCACCCACACGACCCAACCAGGGCTGGGGACAAACTGCAGCCAAGGTACATGCCCCTAGCGGGAACCGAACCCGGGTCTCTGTGGACCGCAGGCTGATGCTCTAACCGCTGAGCCAAACCGGCCAGGGCATTTTTTTTTAAGGAAAGAAATATGCTGAAGTTTTATGTCTCCAAAAGTGACAACTCATCTTGCTGGTCTAGGAATACTAATACATCAGAATCTTACCAGAAAATTCTAATTCCATTGTGGCACTCCTCACTTGTGCTGGGATATGAGGTAGTCTTTTTTCCCCTTTTGGGTTTGGTTTCATTGAGATCATGTGGAGAAATTTAGCTATTGTAAGGAGTGTGTATCTAAAGCTTGGTGTTAAGGGACATAAAAGATTACTCATGAGTAGATTAGGGACGGAAGAGGAGTACTTGTATATGTGGGCAGGACCAATGAAAATTTTATAGTCCCAATTAGAATTTTTGCAACCTAATGACTTTTAATACTATTAAGTTTCACTAATCTACAGAGTAGACTCAGCAACTTATCTCTGTCTCTGAGACCCAGTTTCTTCTAGATGAAGTGCAAGCTGAACTGGTACTTCTTGTCTCCCTTTGTGCAGGAAAATGATGGACTCCGGACAGATTGATTTTTACCAACATGACAAGGTTTGCTCCAATACTTGCAGAAGCACCAAATTTGATCTTCTAATCAGCAGTGCAAGAGCTCCAGTGCCAGGACAGCAGACAAGTGTGGTGCAGACACCCACTTCGGCTGATGGTAGGGGGTAGGAAACCACCTGAAAACCCATTGTGTTTTTCAGTAGCATTTTTACCCTCATTTCTCCTTTGTGTTTCTTTCTTCTTCTTTTTTATTGAATTTATTGGGGTATAGATTTCAGATGTACAGTTCTATAATACATCATGTATATATTGTATTATGTGTCACCACCGCAGTCTTCTTTGTGTTTCTTAATTTCAAATGTCATTAGTGTTGATGTCCCTGAAAAATATGGTTATCTTGGGTGGGATTCAATGCTTTAGAAACAGATCTTTGTTTCTTTCAAATGCTTCCTATTGGCCAGACCTCCTTCCTTATTTCTTTCTTGCAGTGCATGGTAAACATTAGAAAGATGGTTCAGTAGTTATGATGCTTAGTCAGTAGCTCGCTTGAGTGCCACTTGGCATATCTTTGAAATTAGATTTTTTTAAATATGTTTTTATTTTTTATAAAGAGAAAAAGGGAGAGAGAGATAGAAGCATTGATGTGATGAGAGAGAAACATGGATCAGCTGCCTCCTGCACACCCCCCTATCGGAGAAACCTGCAACCTGGGCATGTGCCCTGACTGCAGGAGCTCTCAGTCCATGGGATGATGCTCAGTCTGCTAAGCCATACCAGCCAGACCAAAATTAGATTGTTTTGAAAACCCTTTGCTCTATAGTGGTCAGTGCAAGAAGGTGGATTAGAATGGTGAATGGTTTTCAATTGTTGAATTGAGATATAGCAAAGACAATTTATCCTTGGCGGGGATGGACTCTGGAGACTCTGCTATAAGGATCAACGAGTTTTGCCTGGAAGGGTTCCAGATAACAAAGCTGAGGCTTCCTCTGCTTAGTTGAGTTTGGGACTAGGGCTCCCTGCCCATCTCCAGGAAAGTTGTAGCCATGTGAGATTATTATTAAGGATTCAGTTAGTCCAGCTGGAGATTAGCACAACTAAGATTCTTAGATAGAATATGTGTCAACTACTTCCAGAAGACTTAAAGATATGTCTGACAGAGTTGCAAGGACACTAAAGGATAAAAGGGAAGTACTGTGCTTTAAAAATGCCTCTTGATGCCCTGGCTAGTTTTGCTCAGTGGTTAGAACATCGGCCCATGGACCGGAGAGTCCGGGTTTGGTTCCCACTAGGGGCGTATACCTTGATTGTTGTTTGTCTCTGACCCCAGTTGGGGTTGTGTGGGTAGCGACCAGTTGATGTGTCTCTCTTGCATTGATGTTTCTCTCTCTCTTCCTCCCTTTCTCCCTCCTGCTCTGTCTAAAGATAAGTGCAAAAATGTCCTCAGGTGAGGATAAAAATAAATAAATAGAAATAAAAATGCCTCTTGAGGTTTCTTTTGGTCAGACCTAATATTCTGTCAGTAGTGACTGGGTGAGCAGAAGCCAAATCACTTGCAATCTAAATTCCTTTCAGGAAAGTATAAAATATCTAGCAGTTTGAATTTTTGTTCATGTGACTCTCACTTGAAAAGTGGAAAATGCTGTGAAATTTGACCTTTTTATTTGGCCAAAACTCCTTTACTTAGTTGATTATCCATATTGATATTACTTCTTTGTTTGATTATTATTATTTTCATTTTTTTATTTTTTTATCCTCACCCGAGGACATTTTCCATTTTTTTGTTCAGATAGAGTGGGAGCGAGAGAGAGGAAGAAAGAGAGAGAGAGAAACATGTAGGTGAAAGGGACACATCGAGTGGCTGCCACGTGCACAACCCAACCAGGGCGAGGGACAAACTGCAACCGAGGTGTACATGCCCTCAGCGGGAACCAAACCCGGGTCTCTCGGGACTGCAGGGCAATTATTATTATTTTTTAATCCTTACCTGAGGATTTGTTTTTATTTATTTTAGAGAGAGAGAAGTAAGGAGAGAGGGAGAGAGAAACATCGATCAGTTGCCTCCTGTACGCAACCTGACTAGAGATCGAATCTGCAGCCTAGGTATGTGCCCTGACTAGGAATTGAACCAGCAACTTTTAGGTATATGGGACGATGCTCCAACTGACTGAACCACCCAGCCAGGGCTCTTTGCTTAATTATTGATATCCTCCAGCATGTAGAGTCTACATTTGTCTTTATTTCTGTCTGAATCAATTTGATCTTTTTTAGTTCTCTTTGTTTAAAATCTTAATATAAAATTGATTGCAAAAGTTTTTTCTCTGTGAATCTGCTATTCGTGGTCTCTGATTTTTTTGGATCTCATTTCTCTTGCTTTCTCTTACATAGGCTGATAAATAAGTTATAATAACTTCAGATAGTCTCTAGAACATCAGGGGCAGGGAATGTCCAGCCCACGGACCATATAAGGCCCTCAAAATCAATACCAGCGAACATCACATGCCGCATCAAATTAGCCTGATCAAATATAAGAGGCTAATTTAAAAAAAATGTATATATTTTTAAATCTTCACCCAAGGATATTTTTCCATTTATCTTCAGACACAGTGGGAGAGAGGGAAGGAGACAGAGACACACATCGATCGGTTGCCTCCTGCACGACCCCGACCAGGGCCCAGGACTGAACTGCAAACGAGGTACATGCCCCTGAATAGAATGGAACCTGTGACTCTGGTCCGCAGGCTGCCGCTCTAACCACTGAGCAAACTGGCCAGGGCATAATATGTTTTTATTGATTTTTTTAGAGAGAGAGGAAGGAAGAGAGAAATAGAAATATTGATGTGAAAGAGAACATCAATGGGCTGCCTCCTGTTCGCCCCACACTGGGGATCAAACCCACAACCCAGGCATGTGCCCTCACCAGAAATCCAACCAGGACCTCTCGGTCCATGGCACAACACTCAATCCACTAAGCCATACTGGCTGGGCTAGGAGGCTAATTTTTAAGTTGTTAATTTTGTATGGCCTGGGAATGATGTAAATATCCAAATGGCCCTTGGCATAAAAGAGGTTCCCCACCCTTGGTTAGAATCAAACAGCCCTGTATGTAGTAGGGCTCTTGGCTAAGCACCATACTTTTCTCTCAAATTATTTTAGGTCCTTCTCATCCTCACTAAATCTGGGTAGTCACACTGTCAGTTATGCTCACCTTCAGTCTCTTTCAAAAACATACCTGCTCAGAAAGCAGATTGCTCTTTTGTGATTTTATAAGTTACCCTTTGCTGTCTATTCAGAATAAGAAGAAAACATTTTCTTTTGCAAGACAGGTATACTTTAGAAAATTCAGTATTATTTCTGGCTTTCCTAGGGTTCTAGTTTTTTGTTGTTAATCCTCACTCAAGGATATTTTTCCATTGAATTTTAGATAGAATGGAAGGGAGGGAGAGAGAGAAACATCAATGTGAGAGAGACACATCGATTGGCTGCCTACCGCACAACCCTGATCAGGGCCACATACTGAACCTGCAACCCTGGCTCCTGCCCTTGACTGGGAATTGAACCCTCGACCCTTTGGTCTGTGGGCCAACACTGTAACTGCTGAGCCAAACCAGCCAGGGTGGGTTCTAGTATTTAATAAGGGATCTGCAGGCAAAATAACAGAATGTGCTGGTGTAGCTTGGTTGAGCGTTGTATACCGAAAAGTCACTGGTTCAATTTCTGGTCAGAGCACATGCCCAGGTTGTGGGTTTGGCCCCCAGTTGGGATATATATGGGAGGCAATCCATCGATGTTACTTTTTCTCTCTCTAAAATCAATAAAACATATTTTTTAAAAGCCATATTGTTAAAATAACAGGTTCTCTTTGGCAGTGAGTATGAGATGAAGGATAGCTATGACTTTTTCATAAAAATTCACTGGCCTTATCTCTAATGGACTGCTTTTAGGTAGCATCACACAGATTGCCATCTCAGAAGAGAGCATGGAAGAAGCAGGGCTAGAATGGAACTCAGCTCTTACTGCTGCTGTCACCATGGCCACAGAGGAGGGAGTGAAGAAAGACTCAGAAGAAATTTCAGGTACTTTTCTATGGGGCTCAAATGTCTTGCAGGGTTTTGTGACCTTTCACTATTATGATTATGGACACAGGAGGCCTCCTAATTATTTTTTCTCATGCATATTAATACTAATTATAGCTACAAACCTCTTACTTTAATCCATGCAACAGCCCTGCAAAGTCACATTTTACACATAAAGGAATTGAGATTCAGAAAGGTTTAGCAACTTGCCTAATATCAGTCACACTACCAATAAATATCAGCTGAATCCAGCTAAGTTTGACTCTGTAGTCCATGCTTTTCATCCTAACAAACTACCTCCAACTTTGGTCATTTCTTAGATAAACCAAGCTGCAAGATGTTAGAAGAAAAAATTAGGTAGCAGGTGGTATAGAAGATGGTGATTAGTGATGAATCACTTAGAGGAGATCAGGAAAGGCTTCACATCATCCTCCATTTATTTGTTCATTTAACACATATTTATTGCTGCCTATTCTTAGTTGGTATTGTTGCTGGATGCTAGACAGGTGAATGAAAAGACATAACCTCTGACTTCAGGGAGCTTATAACATCACCTATTCAATTGTTTTACTTTGTTTTTTTTTTTAATTATATGCTTAGAGCAAGCATTTTTTAAAAACATTTTTAATTTAATATCTTTAGTATTTAACTTTAAAGATTTAAATACTTAATTTTAAATTAAATTATTTAGATAAATAATATTTACTACTTAACAAAATATATTCATTAGAGGAAAATACCTGTTCCGTATAGCCAGAGCCATGACAAATTGAGGGCATGACAAATTGAGGCAATTATCCTAAGTCCATAGTTTGCTAAAGAGGCCAAAAATTAGTTACCCACTTAGGAAGGCAGCTAATATTCCAAAAGCTTCTTCCCTTTTCCCAGAAGTGGCCCAACAAGGAACCCTTTTGAATTGAAATAATTTTGAGCTTAACACATTGTAGAGATGTGCCTAGGTATATGTTAGCATTCCTTGTTTACCGTCTGTCTTATCCCTCTTGTACCAGAGGACACTTTGATGTTCTGGAAAGGAATAGCTGATGTAGGGCTGATGGAAGAGGTTGTATGCAATATACAGAAGGAAATAGAGGAGCTACTCAGAGGGGTTCAGCAGCGGCTCATCCAGGCTCCTTTCCAGGTCACAGGTAAGTGCATTAATCCTAACAATATCTAGTCTAATTTATTAAACACTAACAACTGTAGGCAGATTCTGTTAGCCTCATGAAAACACTGAAATATAGGTATTATTATCCCCATTTTACAGATTAGAAAACTAAGGCTCATAAAACTTAAGTTACTTGTCTAAAGTTCATAACTAGGTTTTGAACGTGGTTCTGACCATACCTTTTCCACAGGTAATTTTTGCCTTTATCAATGTACCAAAAAGTAATGTTCTCTCTCTCTCTCGCATATATATTTAAATATAGATATAACAATTAAATCAAAATTAGTTATACATGTGATCAATCTTTGTTAAAATTGTTTATTAGAATAGTCCCATCATTTTTGAATTGTTATATATTTATAAACAGCACAACAGGGAGTTGATGGAACCTTTCTATTTTAACTTGACAGACATTTCTTTTCTTTTAAATAGATGCTGCTGTTCTTAACAATGTGGCCCATACATTTGGCCTAATGGACACAGTTAAGAAGGTTTTGGACAACAGAAGGAACCAAATAGAGCAAGGAGAAGAGCAGTTTCTCTATACTCTGACAGGTAAGTGTAATTTATCTCTCTTCATAGGTAATGTATTAATATCCTTGAATCTTTTTCTCTGGGACTGCCCCATTCCTCAGACTGTTATGTTCATTATATTCCACAAATAAGTGAGATCATATGATACTTGTCTTTCTCTGTTTGGCTTGTTTCACTTAGAATGATACTTTCCAGGTCGCTCCATGTAGTCTTAAAGGATAAGAGATCTTTCTTTCTTACAGCTGCATATTACTCCATTGTGTATATATACCACAGCTTTTTTATCCATTCGTCTACTGATGGACACTTGGGCTGTTTCCAGTCAAAGTTATTTTTATACCCAGTTTATCTTTCATTTTATTTCTCTAATGTATTCATTTTTTAAAATATGCTTTTATTGCTTTTTTTAGAGGGAGAGAAAGGGGAAGAGAGAGATAGAAACATTGATGTGAGAGAGAAACATTGATTACCTATACTCCCCACCATATGCCCCACCCTGGGGATCGAGCCCACAATCTGGACATGTGCCCTGACCGGGAATCAAACCAGGACCTCTCAGTCCGTGGGACAATGCTCTGTCCACTGAGCCACACAAGTTGGACAACCCAGCATATTTTTTAAATTCAGTTTACCAAGTACTGTCAGTGATACCCTTTTTCATTTGATCCTCCTAAGATTGTTGTTATAGGCTATTATCCCTATTTTGTGATGACCCAATGGAAGGACAGAGAGAATAAATTATTTACCTGGGGTCATGATAGTGAAGCCCAAAGTAGAACTTTCTTCTTATTCCTAATTCAGTAGTATCTTATACCTTGAAACTTTACACCATCTGAAAAATAGTTTTTATTAGGATTGTAGGCTTCTCCTTGTCCATATTATTATTTTAAAATAGTTTTAATCAGCCCTGGCCGGTTTGGCTCAGCAGTTAGAGCGTTGGCCCACAGACCAGAGTGACCCGAGTTCAGTTCCCACTAAGGGCATGGACCTTGGTTGCAGTTTGTCCCCGGCCCGGGTTGGGTTTATGTAGGTGGCAACAGTCGATGTGTGTCTCTCATATCAATGTTTCTCTCTCTCTCTCTTCCTCCCTCTCTCCCTCCCGTTCTGTCTGAAGATAAATACAAAAATGTTCTCGGGTGAGGATAAAAAAAAAATAAAATAGCCCTGGCCAGTTTGGCTCAGCGGTTAGAGCGTCGGCCTGCGGTCTGGAGAGACCCGGGTTCGGTTCCCGCTAAGGGCACGTACTTCGGTTGCAGTTTGTCCCCGGCCCTGGTTGGTTGTGCGGGTGGCAGCCACTCGATGTGTCCCTTCACGTCGATGTTTCTGTCTGTCTCTCCCTTCCTCTCTCTCCCTCCCACTCTATCTGTACAAAAAATGGAAAAATATCCTCTGGTGAGGATAAAAAAAAAAAAAATAAAATAAATAAAATAAAATAGTTTTAATCAGCCCTGGCCGGTTTGATCAGTGGTTAGAGCATCGGCCCATGGACCAATGAGTCATGGGTTCAATTCCAGTCAAGGGCATGCACCTCATTTGCAGTTTGTTCCCAGCCCTGTTAGGGTTGTGCATGAGGCAACCAGTCGATGTGCATCTATCGCATTGATGTTTCTCTCTGTCTGTCTCTCTCTCTCTCCCTCCCTCCCACTCTATCTGATAATAAGTAGAAAAATATCCTCAGGGAGGAATAAAATAAATAAATAAATAAATAAATAAAATAATTTTAATCATAGTATACAAAAAAATTTTATTTTCTAACTTGTTTCACTATGACATATTAATATTTTTCCAAGTTGCTACCTAGTACTTTACCTAGACATTTTTCTACCTAGACATTTAAATTTAAAAAATTTTTTTAAGTAGCTTATTTTGTTGCAGTGAACTTGTATGAATATAACTTTTCCTTTTTATGTTCTTTTAAACTACTTCCCAGGACTAAGCTAGAGGTTAAATAGTACTGATCGTTTTTTTATGGATTTCTGTGAATTATTGTCAAATTTCCAAGAAGATTATACCAATTTATGCCATCAGATTGAATTCACCAACATTGGGCACTGTTATTTATAATATTCCCTGATTTAACTTATAAAAAATTACAAGTATCTTGGCCCTGGCCAGTTTTGCTCAGCGGTTAGAGCGTTGGCCTGTGGACCAGAGAGTCCTGGGTTTGGTTCCCGCTAAGAGCACGTACCTTGGTTGCGGTTTTGTTCCTGGCCCCGATTGGGGTCATACGGGAGGCAACCAGTTGATGTGTCTCTCTCACACTGATGTTTTTCTCTCTCTCTGCCTCACAATCTATCTGAAGATAAGTGGAAAAATATCCTCAGATGAGGATTAAAAAAAATAAAAAATTATTTTGAACATGTTCTTGATCCCTGTCTACTCCTTTTATTCCCAAAGTCATTGATTTGCTCTTGGTGTTCCATAGGAAGCAATGTGCTCTAAAGCTGTAACTGATTATGTATTACTTGTTTATCAGGTCCTAAGCAATAGAGAAGTTCTGGTGTAGAGCCAGATTCACCAATGGTCATCAAGGTTGGACTGGACATATGGAGAGGGATAGTGATAAGTATATTGTGTTGGAGAAGCCACCAAGTTGGCCATCAGAGAGTTTTGTCCCAAGCTCTGTGACTTTAAATAAGTCACTTTGACCTAAGGCCTCCTTCAGTTCTGTAATTCTTAGGGACGTTTTTCTCTGTAACTTTCTCCAGACTTCTCTGGGGGCTAATGGTAGACTAAAGCCATTTTGGCTTAAAGCCAGTAAGGTGATCTTTCCTCAAAGGACAGTTTAGGAATCACTGTGTTCCAGAGTGGCCATTGTAGCTCCTTTGTAGGTCCATGGAAGTTCAAAAGGAATTGTGAAGATATTTCTTATTTTTCTAAAAACTTTTTTCTTTATTGATTGTAGAGAGAGCAGAAGGGAAAGGAAGAGGAAGATAGAAACATCAATGAGAGCCCTGGCCGGTTTGGCTCAGCGGTTAGAGTGTCGGCCTGCGGTCCAGAGAGACCCGGGTTCGGTTCCCGCTAAGGGCACGTACTTCGGTTGCAGTTTGTCCCCGGCCCTGGTTGGTCGTGCGGGTGGCAGCCACTCGATGTGTCCCTTCACGTCGATGTTTCTCTCTCTCTCTCCCTTCCTCTCTCTCCCTCCCACTCTATCTGTACAAAAAAAAAAGGAAAAAAAATATCCTCAGGTGAGGATAAAAAAAAAAGAAACATCAATGAGAGAGAACATTGATTGGCCACCTCCTACATGCCCCCACTGGGGATTTGACCCACAAACTGGGCATGTGCCCTGGCCAGGAATTGAACTGGCAACCTCTTGGTGCATGGGTTGACACGCAGCCATTGATCCACACCAGCCAGGCAGATATTTCTTATTTTCATCTGTAGACTGAGGCAGGGCATATATTATCTGCTAGACCAACTGGAGGTTTCTTTGGTTTGCACTTTGATGAGAGGTGACAAAATGCCATAGGAGCTTCTAGAGTTGAACTACAGTAGGATCACAGCTTGAAAAGATTCTGAGTTGTTGCCTTGCCCATAATCACACAAGGAAATGTAGTTACTGGAGGGATTTAAAAAATCATCCAGTCTAGTTTTTTCTCAAAAACAATGAAGTGACTTTTTTTTTATCCTCTGAGAACATTTTTCCATTTTTTGTTCAGGTAGAGTGGGAGGGAGAGAGAGAAAGAGAGAGAGAGACAGAGACAGAGACATCGACATCGACATCTACATGAAAGGGACACATCGAGTGGCTGCCTCCCGCACGATTCAACCAGGGCCGGGGACAAACTACAACCGAGGTACGTGCCCTTAGTGGAAACCGAACCCAGGTCTCTCTAGACCGCAGGCCGACGCTCTAACTGCTGAGCCAAACCAGCCAGGGCTGAAGTGACTTTCTTGAGGCTACATAGTGGCAAGACCAGAACAAGACCGCAGGTCCCCTCACTCCCATTTTACTGTTCCCAAGATTATACTTCCCACCACACGAATTCTGTCTTTTTTTCCATAGACTTGGAACGCCAGTTGGAAGAGCAGAAGAAGCAAGCTCAGGATCACAGGCTGAAATCCCAGACGGTTCAAAATGTGGTATTGATGCCTGTGAGCACTCCTAAGCCTCCAAAAAGGCCCCGACTCCAGAGGCCAGCCTCCACCACTGTCTTGAGCCCTTCTCCTCCTGTCCAGCAGCCTCAGTTCACAGTCATCTCACCCATCACCATCACCCCAGTGGGTCAGTCATTTTCCATGGGCAATATTCCAGTGGCCACCCTCAGCCAGGGCTCCAGTCCTGTGACTGTCCACACACTGCCTTCTGGCCCTCAGCTCTTCCGTTATGCCACAGTGGTCTCCTCTGCCAAGAGCAGCTCACCAGACACAGTGACCATCCATCCTTCATCTAGCTTGGCACTGCTAAGCTCAACTGCCATGCAGGATGGGAGTACCCTGGGCAACATGACCACTATGGTGAGCCCTATGGAGTTGGTGGCCATGGAATCTGGCCTGACCTCGGCAATCCAGGCTGTCGAAAGCACCTCAGAGGATGGGCAGACCATCATTGAGATTGACCCAGCCCCAGACCCAGAGGCTGAGGATACTGAAGGCAAAGCAGTCATTTTGGAGACAGAGCTGAGGACTGAGGAGAAAGTTGTGGCTGAGATGGAAGAACATCAGCATCAAGTCCACAATGTGGAGATTGTGGTCTTAGAGGATTAACTGGGGATATTGGGACCAAGAAATATGTTTTGGTTTGAAATTTTAATTATTTGTTTATTTTTATCATTGTCCCACTCATTTCCACATAGGATCCTTTTAAAAAAACACAAAATCTCATTGCTGTAACTGAATATGTTGGGTCCCTCCCACCCACCCCCCTCATTGAAAAAATGGACAAAAACAAGCTGCCCTTCCAGAAGTTGAGAGTAGGTCACTCAATGTCCTCATTTTTTTACGCCAAGAAAGTTAATTTCTTTTAGGGGAGGCCTCAAGATAACCAAAAACCTATTCCAAAAGCCCTTTCCAGGCTAGTCTATCTGTGTACGTATGTGGTTTTATCCTCATAAAGTTGTATTGACGGAACTGTGGAACACAGACGTGATACTGGAAAGTAACCCACTCACAAATGGATGCATAAGGATACTTTATTTTGTATCCTGGAATGTACCCCCAGAGGCCAGTAGAAAACTCTGAAACAAAAGGAAGTTGAATTCTGCTTGGAGGGGAACTCTGTTGCTTGGAGCAGCAGCTTAAAAAGGGAAGCGTTTTGGCGATAGTGGAGCAAAGAAATTATCTTATTTCCAGAAGTGCAACTGATGCCTCTTAATATCTCTGAGGGTTATCACTATAGGTGCCATTTTGAGGAGAGGCCAGTGATAAGTGGAAGGGTATATTACCATGGAACAAGTAGCATCAGGAGAAATAGAAATCCAGGGATGTCACAGCTGTGCTTTGGGATTCAAGCCCAACTTGCCCCCGACTTTGTCAAAGCACTTACCTTCCATTCATTTGTGAACTATGTGATATGGTGTAACTTGCTCTGGTTCTTGGACTGTGGCTGTTGTGGGAGTGGCAACTCCAAGACCATCATTTTTATTGCATGACTCCAGGAGCAGGGGAGTTTCTCATCCAGACCACCTGCCCTTTTTGGTAGGGCCCTCATTTGGCTTTAGAACTGAAAGCAGCCACTCATTTGGTGCTTCCTCTTGTTCTACCCTCCATCCTTCAACTGTTAATGGCATTTGTCTCCTGGATCCCATGTTCTTCAGCTTTTTGGCTGATTTGGAGAACAATGACGGGTGCCTGCCTTCGTCCCCTTTTACAGTCATTTATACCACAGATGTTTCTGTGAGATTGAGCTCATAAAAAAACCTTAGCCTTGGCAGGAAGACTCAACACCCCTAACCTATCCTGAGGCACTGAGTGGATATCTCCTGAGCGAGCTGGACTCCCTGGGAAAGAAGCATTGTCTGCAACATTATATTATAGGAAATGTACCAGGAATGTCAATAATAATGTCTTGGGGGGGGGGTGTTTGTTGTGTTTTCTTTCTTTTTTTCTTATGTTGTTTGTATATTTAGAGCCGGGCCATTTTCTGTGCTTTGATTCTTTCTCTTTGACCATCTTCAGTGTTTGGGGCAAGAGTGGACCCTGGTTTTTATTTCCTTTGGTTGCCTTGTTTACTGCGTTAGGAAAAATATAGGGAAACTGCAGACAATTTAAAGGAAAAATAGGTCAAAAAGGATAACACACACCTTAGGAGTGGGAGTTGTTTTTTTTTTTATTAAAAGCAAAACTTTGACCTATAGTTTCTTTCTTTTCTTTTCTTTTTTTAAAGAAGGCACCCACCTGAAGCCATGTTTCTTCCAACAAATGTTGAAAACCCTGTTGTCAAGCAAGTGAAAACAGTTCTGCTATCCCTCAGATGACTGTATATAGTTGGAAAAGCCCTCTAATTTGGGAGAGTCGATCATAAAAGCCTTAAGAGTGAGATTTCAGCTTTAAAATGGTCTGGAGTTTTATTTTTCTTTTCAAAATATTAAATAGATGTAGCAATCAGCTTAGAACAAACCATTGGTCCTTTATATAACTTTAGTGAGGAAAGTAGTTTTTATTTCTTGGTTTTTTAGGTTTCCCGTTGGTACATAAACAAAACCAATATTTCTAAGGCTAAAACTGCTACTTGAACCTAGAAAGGCATATCATCCCTATTGTGGTTTTTAGGAACACTTTTCTCTTTCCCAGAGACAAAAGGCCCAATTCAGGACAGAAGAGGAGCCCTGGAGAACACCTATATGCTAGCTCAGTTTCTTTTTTTCACTCTGTCAGAGCTTCCAAAGTCAAGAGATCTCCTAAGGACAGAGCCTGTTTACTTTTACTTTCTGAATATTCCAAGTAGTGGGAATACATGAGTTTTGTTGTTTTCCTGGTCTTCCAAAAGCCTGTCATTATTGCTAGATATTATGACACCCGTTGTTGAGTGGGGGTTCCCTCACAGCCCTGGTCTAGACGATCTCAGATGGGGTAAGGCATATGCAAGCCGCTGGTCTGTGCACAAGCATTTGCAATGAATCATTCCTCAGGCTGACTTGGCAGTAGCCATCTATCTTTCTGTTCATTCAATCAACATTTATAAGCGTGATCTATGTACCAGGCTTTGTGCTAGGCACTGGCAGTACAGAGGTAGAAACACAGGCATTCCCTGCATTCAAGGAATTTATACTGAAGAGGCTGTCTGGAATTTATATTTCAATATAATTGGTTTCTTTTGTAATCATATGTATTTTATTTCACGCATTGAAAAGCATTATTTCGAGAATTGATTTATAGGTTTCAGCAGACCACCAAAGGCACAAGAAGTATCTCTAGTGAGATACTGAAACAGATCATCATATTGGAGTAAGTGCAGTGATAGAGCTCTTGGCTGGCAGCTGAGAAAACAGATCAAGTACCTAACCCAGTTTGGGGGCAGGGGTCAGCAAATATGGAAGTACTTCCTGGTGGTGTGACCCTAAGCTGATTGAAGAGAGACCATTTTGGGGTAGGTTTTTTTTGGTATTCCATTTTCAAGTAGTTGGGTTTATTTATACAAGAGAAGAAAAAAATCCTTAGTCTCTTGCTGCTTTTGCCTCTAGGGCCAGGCAGAGTCAGCATCATGGGCAGTTTCTCCCAAGAGTACCCTACTGGAGAAAGCCAAGACATGTATCAGCTCCGAGTTTCCATCAGATGAATCCAGTGCAGGACTGGGTTTAGCTGGTGGAAGGTCAACATCCCAAAGCTTCCTGTCATGTGGTTTCTACAAAGGCCTCAGAGTTAACTGTACAACTGCCCCACCTTAGCCATGTCCCTGTTTGGCCCCCACCTTATTCTCTTCCCTATTTTAGGCTCCTTCCCTGCCCCCCACAACAAAACAAAACAAACCACTCCCAGTTATTTTGAAGTAAAAAATGAACAACAGACTTGAGTATTCAGGTTTCCAAAACACTTTACTAAAGTTTCTTTTACACATCTGTCCACATTAGGGCAGGAGAATCAATGTTAATCCAAATACCTTGGAAATTATATTGAGTTCAGGTGTATGATATTCCTTAGTAGTGGTATTTTAGCCCATTTTCATAAAAAGCACTAAAGGTAAGTTTGTATGGTAGGAAGTATTGATATTGTTAACAGTTGATTATACAAATAGTAAAATCAAGCATGAAATATGGGATTACTAATTCATTGAATTCTAACTGATTAGGTCAAGGAAGTAGGAAGGATAAAGAAAAGATTGAATTCTGAAAATGGGCATGAGGTGGTGATTCACTTTGGACAATACTCCTGAGGAAATAGTTCTTTCTGAGAAAAAACTCAGATACTAGGCTAGTACCTGCATTTTCAGATAACTTACCTAGTACAGTTCCCTCACACCTAGGATACCTCCTCCCTGGGAAATTCTTATGTAGCCTGTAATGTATTACAATAACCACCCAGGCAAGGGACTGCATGGGATCAGTTCTGCTAGATTTGGACTCTTTGCCCCTGGAATTTTTCTTCTTAGGCAGCCCTAATTGAGTCCTTTCCAGGTTTCCTTCCCAATCCTGAAATATTCTTTGTCCTGAGCTGTGCAATTAGACTTCCTCTGGAAGGTTCTACTTTCCTCCAACTTCCTTATCCATACTCCTATTTCCCTAACAAAATTACATTTGGTTCCCAAATTCTGCCATGTCAGTAACTCAACTAGAGATAATGATTTCTCATGGCACTCCTAAGACCCAAACCTCAGCATACATCTGAAAAATGCTATCTTCAGCCCTGGCTTGTTTGGTCAGCAGTTAGAGACTCGGCCTGGGGTCCAGAGAGACCCGGGTTTGGTTTCCACTAAGAGCACGCACCTCGGTTGCAGTTTGTCCCCAGCCCTGGTTGGGTCGTGCAGTTGGCAGCCACTCAATGTGTACCTTTCGCGTCGATGTTTCTCTCTTTCTCTCTCTTCCTCTCTCCCTCCTGCTCTATCTGAACAAAAAATGCAAAAATGTCCTCGGCTGAGGATTAAAAAAAAATGCTATTTTCACTACCTAAAACAGCCTAACTGTTGAATTGAAACACCTTTGGCCCTGGCCGATTTTGCTCAGCGGTTAGAGCGTCGGCCAGTTGTCCTGTGAGACCCGGGTTCAGTTCCCGCTAAGGGCACGTACCTCAGTTGCAGTTTGTCCCCGGCCCTGGTTGGTCATGCGGGTGGCAGCCACTCAATGTGTCCCTTTCACATCGATGTTTCTTTCTCTCTCTTCCTCTCCCTCCCACTCTATCTGAATAAAAAATGGAAAAAGGTCCTCGGGTGAGGATTAAAAAAAAGAAACACCTTTGGGATGTGCTTGTGCACTGACTATTGGTAAATTGCCCAGCATACATAGATTCTAAAACCTATTTTTTACACCTGATTTTCTACCTATGGTCAGTGACCCAGGCTAAGTCATGCCTGTTTCCTGGATAATTCTTTAAGCCCAGTATGATTCCTACAACTTCTTCACAACTACCAGAAATTTCTGCTGTGCCTTATGAGCCTCTCGGCCTAAAGATATCTGGTGCCCTTTCAACCCCAAATAGACCAGACCCTACTTTGAAATTGACTTTGGGTTCTCCTGCATGTATAGTTTACAATTCTTTTTTTATTTTTTTATCCTCACCTGAGGACATTTTTCGATATTTTGTTCAGATAGAGAGGGAGTGGGAGAGAGAGAGAAACATCGAGGTGAAAGGGACACATCGAGTGGTTGCTACCCGCACGACCCAACCAGGGCCGGGGACAAACTGCAACCAAAGTTCGTGCCCTTAGC